TTAGATAGAAGATTGCACTAGTATGAAGAATAGACGATTTTAGACGACCCTTTATTTTCCAGTTGAAAAATTTGAAATAAAATTCTTTTTACAAGGATGGACATTTTCAAATTACATGAATTAATCAACCCTTTCTTGTATGTTCTTAAAACTGAAAAAAATGCTTTGTTATATGCAACATCCAGGTTCCACCATAGGGAAAGCTTTTCACATAAAATTTAAAAATAAACTATTGGACTAGATGATCACGATGAGGACGTGGCGCAGCGAATGTTCTCTCCCTCGAGATTTGACTTTTTTTAAGCCAAACGGAAACATTTCTTACAACACTGTGGTCTTGGAATTACAAGAAAAGCCCCGTTATTTTTTTTATACTTGTATCTCTTTTCCTCAGCTCTATTTGATTATATCTTGATCTTTTTCATATATAGTCATACAGAGTCTTATTTAATCTTTCCTACTAACAAAAAAAAAAAAACAAAAAACAAAAAAAAAATGATTCAAAATAATGACAATAGTTTAATAGTTTTAATGGATCAGATGGACTGAAAAAATCTACATGCTGTTAATAACTTGTGTATAAACACAAGTTCGTATATCAATTTTGTGTGTTGAATTTGAATTTTCAATACTAGTATTAGCTTAACTTTTGCATAGAATCATGCACTGCCGTCCGTGTTTATATATTGTTTTTCTTTGGTCAGTTTTCGTGTTTTGCCATGGCATTGTCAGTTTGTTTTCAACTTGAGAGTTTGACTATCCCTTTGGTATCTTTCGCCTCTCTTTTTCTGTGCAAGACTGGCCTTCATATAATTCAATGTGAAACAAGAAAGTGCACGACATGTTAACAAACATGACAAACAAAGGGTATGTGATAACGACAGCCACTATGCCAAAAGCTTCTTCCTGGCTTTTGAAAAGCTCAGTATATTTTGTAGGCGCTGATCCCCTCTTCTAACCTTGAACTGTCGGTGTCGTGTACCAGTATAACATTAGAACAAATAGCAAAAAACATTTGAAAAGAGTTTGACTTGTCAGAATTGGACCAAGCACAAAAAAAACCTAACACAATTACAAAAGACAAAAAGTAAATAAAAAAATGAAGGATAGGTAATTCAAAACACGATCTTAACTAAAAATAGAACATTTTTTCAAACATTGAATTGACAACAAAGTGGGACGCATGAACAATTAAGGCGGAGTATGGAAATGGTATGCCAAGATCAATTTTTAGAATGATCAATAAAAAATTCAGGGTATGATTTGGCTTTTTGCAGAAATTATTTGAAAAGATATTGTCGAAATTATTAATAACTTTAATATTTTGGTATTTTTAATACTAATGCAGTCAACATATGTTTACACCAACAGCAAATGGGTTAGTTTATCTAGAAAAATGTTGGGTAAAATAGTGCATTCAAAAACAGATATTCCCGAATTCGACCGACTTTATCTGCCGAGCTAGCCATCTAAATTTGAACAAACAGTTTTTATTGAATATATTTACAGAAATCAAACTGTGATACCAATTATCGAACGATTTGCAATCTGTATTATTTCACATTGTGAAAATCGGTAAAAACTCAATGGTTTTACTGCAAAACGTTACCAGTAATTTCAAGTACCTGCCACTTTTATACGCATAAACGTCACACACAGCACCAGTTTTGATGACGTCATTCGGATGAACGTTACAATTTAAAAATAAAATAACAATTGTTTTTTTACAGTCAACCATGTGAACAAATTTCACTAAGTTAATTTGATAAATAAAGGCATACAAAGGTTATAATTGGAGTATAGCTTGTGGAAAAATTTGCACGTTACCTATAAAGAAAATTGTTTTCAACCACAAAAATTCAAAATATATTTGTGACTTTTAGGGTTATTCTTGTATAACAGAACAAAGTCAGTTATTTTTCTTCAAACCTATTATGGTTTCGGCAGTAAAATGATGTTTTTATGTACGTGTTTAATGGTTTGTGGGTTCTGCTAAAAAGCGACAAAAATGTCGTTTTGGCGTGCTAGCGGTAAACGACAAAAATGTCGTTTTGGCGCCGAAAGGGTTAAGTTCATTTCAAACCATGACGTCATACAAATGAAAACACTAAATTAAAGCTGAATGTTTTTCCGTTACGCGAAGCATTGAAATTCGTAAAATGTTACCTTTAAAATGTATTTTTGAGTTAGATGTTGTTTTATTTTTTATTCTATTGCATTATTCGCATATTTACTGATTTCAGCAAGTAAACATGGTGGCTCCTTAGTTACGAAATGTCAACTTTGGATTTGACAGTAGCTTACGAGAAAAACATGTAAATTAGAAATGGGAAATGTTGGATTTGAGAATTAAAAGAATTAAGCACATTTTTTCTAGCAGATATTTATGAAATTATCCATGCAAACTACAGATTTATTAGAATGATTTAGCTTCATCTCACAGGGAGTAAAAAAGAACATCCACACACTCTCTCTTCAGTATTTAAATGAACGTATTTGTCCTATTAGAATTGAAATAATTCATGGAAGCCATAGATTTGTTGTAAATTTACACATGGCCTGGGCTGTGATATTCATTTATTTTATCCCTCGCTAATGATCAGGATAAAATTAGAATATCATGGCCCAGGCCATGTGTAAATTTCCAACAAATCTATGGCTTCCATGAATTATTTCTTAATTAACTTATCCTTGTCTCATGGGTTTTTGTTGTATTGAGAAAACATTGTGACGGCACAATTTCCATTGAAAAAGCATGCATAGTACATACCATATACAAATTTGAAAGAGCATATCATTACTAAAACAAAACAGACACATATATACATGTGTCCTTGTGTCATATGTTTTCGTATCATCCATATTTCATCGGTTTCAATTGCACACACATACATACTGATGTGTTTTTCGGTTTCTATATTTGGAACAACAACAACAACACTACATGTACAACGTGACATTAAAACATATTCAAAGTCGCTTTTAAAGACGTAAGAACAAATTTAATCAAACTTATCTGTTAAGCCAATTAATGCCAAAAATATGCATCACTAGAATACTTCTTGAGAAAAATTCTGAAGGGTTGCATGGAGTACAGCTATGTCGTTTGCCTGTCAGACACCAGATCTTCAAGACATGTGACTGTTATGTGTTTTTTTGGTAATTTTTCTTTCAAACCAGGGAGGTTAAATTAACAGGGTTCTTATATAAAATGGTTGTTCAAAATCCATTCATTCAATATTCTATTGACAATTATTTTTATACATCCTTGAAACATAAAGCTGAAAACAGTCTTAACTTTTTACATTTGATAAAAAATTTAGAAACCCAGTACCAATCTGAAAAAAAAAATCACAATGTTACAATTTCAGCACATAATACACCAACCAAAAGTTATCTACTGGTTAGTTTTAGTACTGAAAAGTATTCAATATACTTTTTTTTATGATTCAAGCAATTACCGGAACCACAACTTTAAAAAATACTCAGTTCTAGATTTTATATTCATTTCCTGTCCATGTGCTGATCCAATTTTTACTTCATACGAAAACATATGACACCGTTTTTTGACATAAAAAAAAATCTCAAAGTAATCAGAAACAGTAAAAACATCGTAGTAAGCCTTTACAAAAAAATCTAGATACCTAAAATCAATTGACAGAACATGCTTTTAAAATTTGTGTACACACGTGAATAAAAACTCAACAGTGAAAACTGTAAGCAGTGAAAATTGTTATTAGTGTGAAAACACATCACACGAGGATGTATATATGTCTCTGAACAAATCAAACTAAAGTTTTTGAGAATGAAATCAAATACTTTATAAAGTGTTTTATTTTGACAAAGTTACCAAACAATGGACGTGGGGCTAAATGTTTGTTCTTCTTTTCTTTAAGTATACACTTCCTGAAAAATCAAATTTACACAAAGTGATATTTTCATGTTTTTTCTTTATTGCAAAAAAGTAGTCTTTTTATTTTTTCATTTTTACATGTTATGAACTTATCTTGAAAAATAAAAAAGGTAGTTAGAAGCTTTTACAAGTCATAATTATCAGCAGGACAAGATCATCAGATACATTGTTCAAACTTTAATTGTCAGTTAATTGATTATAGAGTTATTGTCCTTAAATTTTTATTTTTTTTTTTTTACCAAAAAGTGGCCTTTGTGGCAGATGCAGTTTTATAATTATCCTACTATAATGTAATCTATGTTCTGGTACACACAATTTTATTTCTCATATGATTATGGCTAGAGACTTTGTGATATTTTTGCAACAGTTTATAAATTACATAATCTGTACTTTTCCATTTCAGATGAAACATTGACATGGTTGACGTCTCTCTGCACTTTATGCAATAAAATGGCAGGTGAGTTTTAAATTAAATTAGGTTATTGATAAGGGTGATAGAACTATGTAAAAGAGCCTGTACAAAACATTAGGAAGTTTCTTTGACACTGTTTTTATACTGCAGCTGAAAATTGCTACAATTATAGTTCTGAATATGTAATCACAAAAATATAACGTAGTTTGATGCCTTAACAAACCCTAAATTGTGATTAAAGTGACATGACATTGTGACATGAAATCAGCATTGCATGAAATATCTTTTTGTAACTATATTTGGTAGCTAGTTAAAGACAACATGAAGTTTTCTAGCTGCAATATAAAATTTGATACAAATATGAAATAAACACTTTAAAAGTTGTAATTTAAAAAGATTTATCTAGTTCAATATTTAAGTTTGCTGAAATACAAATGTACACTAACATTATCCGAGCTAAATACCAATCTTTGCTATTTATCTCTTTACTTCTTTGTAGCACAGAACCACCAAGAACTAATTTTGGTAATCTATGACAAATATGCATTTGCTTAAACTAACAACATTAGGTCGTCAAGTGTAGAGTTGGCAACTTTTTAGCCCATTTAAATTTTAAAAGCAGTATTTGGACACAAACTGAATTGAAGGTTTTTACTTTTGTACAGATATTCGAAAGGTCAAATGTGTGCTCAATGGTGGATTGAAAAAAGAGGTTGTAGCTGACCAATCAAAAAGAAAAAGAAGATTGAAACGTGAAAGGTTTTTGTAAATTATTTATATAAAATTGCCAAAAAATGATTTAAGGTAGATTAGGTGTCTTTTTCTCAGCATCCCAGTTGGGCATATTGCAAAAGTTCTTATTTTATTGGTTTTTATCAGATATTATTCAATATACAACAAAAACATATAAAACTTAAATTTTAGAGATCAAAGTATTAAAAAAATCAGGTGCCATTAATTATATATAAGTGTATTTGAAATTTATTTATTAGAATCAAGGGCAGGTAATTGAACTGAATTTGATAGGACAATTTATATTTTTTTTATTTCAAGAACATAAAGTGGGTGGCTATATTAATTTAATAAGTCTAAAGTATTTTTGAAAAGCAATTCTCTCATCAAATTTTAACCAATTCTATGATTTAATGTTTCCTCAATAAGGAAAAATAAAATTTCCCCTATATAACCCATATAAAATAACTTGGACTTTGTTAATTTCAATGATTAATAAAGGAAAAACACAACCAGTGACCCTCAATTTTTATATATAATTTGAAAGTATATCAACCCTCCCCCTATACCTCTAGCCAATATAGAATTAAGAAACATACAGTAATACACACAGTAAAATTTAGAATAATTTTTTATCATCCTCACTATTTAAGTTTGTTCTATCTAGGCTGTTATGGCTTGGACAGTTCTTTATCAATCTCACTATTGTTGTTTGTTCTATCAAAGCTGTTATGGTTTGAAATGGTTGGTTATCAGTCTCACTATTGTTGTTTGTTCTTTCAAGACTGTTATGATTTGAAATGGTCCATTATCAGCCTCACTATTGTTGTTTGTTTTATCAAGGCTGTTATGGTTTGAAATGGTTGGTTATCAGCCTCACTATTGTTGTTTGTTCTTTCAAGACTGTTATGGTTTGAAATGGTCCATTATCAGTCTCACTATTATTGTTTGTTCTATCAAGGCTGTTATGGTTTGAAATGGTCCATTATCAGCCTCACTATTGTTGTTTGTTCTTTCAAGACTGTTATGGTTTGAAATGGTCCATTATCAGCCTCACTTTTGTTGTTTGTTCTATCAAGGCTGTTATGGTTTAAAATGGTCCATTATCAGCCTCACTATTGTTGTTTGTTCTATCAAGGCTGTTATGGTTTGAAATGGTTGGTTATCAGTCTCACTATTGTTGTTTGTTCTATCAAGGCTGTTATGGTTTGAAATGGTCCATTATCAGCCTCACTATTGTTGTTTGTTCTATCAAGGCTGTTATGGTTTGAAATGGTCCATTATCAGTCTCACTATTGTTGTTTGTTCTATCAAGGCTGTTATGGTTTAAAATGGTCCATTATCAGCCTCACTATTGTTGTTTGTTCTATCAAGGTTGTTATGGTTTGAAATGGTTGGTTATCAGTCTCACTATTGATGTTTGTTCTTTCAAGACTGTAATGGTTTAAAATGGTCCATTATCAGCCTCACTATTGTTGTTTGTTCTATCAAGGCTGTAATGGTTTGAAATGGTCCATTATCAGCCTCACTATTGTTGTTTGTTTTATCAAAGCTGTTATGGTTTGAAATGGTCTGTTATCAGTCTCACTATTGTTGTTTGTTCTATCAAGGCTGTTATGGTTTGAAATGGTCCATTATCAGTCTCACTATTGTTGTTTGTTCTATCAAGGCTGTTATGGTTTGAAATGGTCCATTATCAGCCTCACTTTTGTTGTTTGTTCTATCAAGGCTGTTATGGTTTTAAACGGTTTGTTTTCAGCCTCACTATTGTTGTTTGTTCTTTCAAGGCTGTTATGGTTTGAAATGGTCTATTATCAGCCTCACTTTTGTTGTTTGTTCTATCAAAGCTGTTATGGTTTGAAATGGTCTATTATCAGCCTCACTTTTGTTGTTTGTTCTATCAAGGCTGTTATGGTTTGAAATGATCCATTATCAGCCTCACTATTTTCGTTTGTTCTATCAAGGCTGTAATGGTTTGAAATGGTCCAATATCAGTCTCACTTTTGTTGTTTGTCCTATCAAGGCTGTTATGGTTTGAAATGGTCCATTATCAGCCTCACTATTGTTGTTTGTTCTATCAAGGCTGTTATGGTTTGAAATGGTTGGTTATCAGTCTCACTATTGTTGTTTGTTCTATCAAGGCTGTTATGGTTTGAAATGGTCCATTATCAGCCTCACTATTGTTGTTTGTTCTATCAAGGCTGTTATGGTTTGAAATGGTCCATTATCAGCATCACTATTGTTGTTTGTTCTATCAAGGCTGTTATGGATGGAAATGGTCCATTATCAGCCTCACTATTGTTGTTTGTTCTATCAAGGCTGTTATGGTTTGAAATGATCCATTATCAGCCTCACTATTGTTGTTTGTCCTATCAAGGCTGTTATGGTTTGAAATGGTCCATTATCAGTCTCACTATTGTTGTTTGTCCTATCAAGGCTGTTATGGTTTGAAATGATCCATTATCAGCCTCACTATTGCTGTTTGTTCTATCAAGGCTGTTATGGTTTGAAATGATCCATTATCAACCTCACTATTGTTGTTTGTTCTATCAAGGCTGTTATGGTTTGAAATGATCCATTATCAACCTCACTATTGTTGTTTGTTCTATCAAGGCTGTTATGGTTTGAAATGGTCTGTTATCAGCCTACCTATTGTTGTTTGTTCTTTCAAGGCTGTTATGGTTTGAAATGGTCTATTATCAGCCTCACTTTTGTTGTTTGTTCTATCAAGGCTGTGATGGTTTGAAATGAATCATTATCAGCCTCACTATTGTTGTTTGTTCTATCAAGGCTGTTATGGTTTGAAATGGTCCATTATCAGCCTCACTATTGTTATTTGTTCTATCAAGGCTGTTATGGTTTGAAATGGTCCATTATCAGCCTCACTATTGTTGTTTGTTCTATCAAGGCTGTTATGGTTTGAAATGATCCATTATCAACCTCTCTATTGTTGTTTGTTCTATCAAGGCCGTTATGTTTTGAAATGAATCATTATCAGCCTCACTATTGCTGTTTGTTCTATCAAGGCTGTTATGGTTTGAAATGGTCCATTATCAGCCTCACTATTGTTGTTTGTTCTATCAAGGCTGTTATGGTTTGAAATGGTCCATTAACAGCCTCACTATTGTTGTTTGTTCTATCAAGGCTGTTATGGTTTGAAATGATCCATTATCAGCCTCACTATTGCTGTTTGTTCTATCAAGGCTGTTATGGTTTGAAATGATCCATTATCAGCCTCACTATTGTTGTTTGTTCTATCAAGGCTGTTATGGATGGAAATGGTCCATTATCAGCCTCACTATTGTTGTTTGTTCTTTCAAGGCTGTTATGGTTTGAAATGACCCATTATCAACCTCACTATTGTTGTTTGTTCTATCAAGGCTGTTATGGTTTGACATGGTCTGTTATCAGCCTACCTATTGTTGTTTGTTCTTTCAAGGCTGTTATGGTTTGAAATGGTCTGTTATCAGCCTCACTATTGCTGTTTGTTCTATCAAGGCTGTTATGGTTTGAAATGATCCATTATCAGCCTCACTATTGCTGTTTGTTCTATCAAGGCTGTTATGGTTTGAAATGATCCATTATCAGCCTCACTATTGTTGTTTGTTCTATCAAGGCTGTTATGGTTTGAAATGATCCATTATCAGCATCACTATTGTTGTTTGTTCTATCAAGGCTGTTATGGTTTGAAATGGTCCATTATCAGTCTCACTATTGTTGTTTGTCCTATCAAGGCTGTTATGGTTTGAAATGATCCATTATCAGCCTCACTATTGCTGTTTGTTCTATCAAGGCTGTTATGGTTTGAAATGGTCTGTTATCAGCCTCACTATTGCTGTTTGTTCTATCAAGGCTGTTATGGTTTGAAATGATCCATTATCAGCCTCACTATTGCTGTTTGTTCTATCAAGGCTGTTATGGTTTGAAATGATCCATTATCAGCCTCACTATTGTTGTTTGTTCTATCAAGGCTGTTATGGTTTGAAATGATCCATTATCAGCATCACTATTGTTGTTTGTTCTATCAAGGCTGTTATGGTTTGAAATGGTCCTTTATCAGCCTCACTATTGTTGTTTGTTCTATCAAGGCTGTTATGGTTTGAAATGGTTGGTTATCAGCCTCACTATTGTTGTTTGTCCTATCAAGGCTGTTATGGTTTGAAATGATCCATTATCAACCTCACTATTGTTGTTTGTTCTATCAAGGCTGTTATGGTTTGAAATGATCCATTATCAACCTCACTATTGTTGTTTGTTCTATCAAGGCTGTTATGGTTTGAAATGAATCATTATCAGCCTCACTATTGCTGTTTGTTCTATCAAGGCTGTTATGGTTTGAAATGGTCCATTAACAGCCTCACTATTGTTGTTTGTTCTATCAAGGCTGTTATGGTTTGAAATGATCCATTATCAGCCTCACTATTGTTGTTTGTTCTATCAAGGCTGTTATGGTTTGAAATGATCCATTATCAGCCTCACTATTGTTGTTTGTTCTATCAAGGCTGTTATGGTTTGAAATGATCCATTATCAGCCTCACTATTGTTGTTTGTTCTATCAAGGCTGTTATGGTTTGAAATGATCCATTATCAGCCTCACTATTGTTGTTTGTAGATTCTGGACAATCGCTTGTTTGTAAGAGTATGGATCTATCTGACATTGTACCACAAGGTTCCATTTCACAAAAGAAAAGCTGGGATTGAGTAAGGGGGTTATTGTCCCATTCATGCAGGAATTAGGGGCCAATAAAGGGCCAAAAACAAGCATATATCTAGTTTCCAGATAATAACTTGTGTTTAAGTGTATGGATCTCTCTGAAATTGTACTACAAGGTTCTATACTACAAAGGAAAGGCAGGGATCGAGTGTGGGGGTTATTGCTCCTAAGGTGGATTCAAAAAATGTTGGGGGATTCTAATTTTTTTAAGGAGTTCAATTTTTTTTTCAAAATTTTTTTAATTTCAAATTTTCATAAAGTTTAAACGAATCTTTTATTGCACAGTATTGCGCAATAGATTTGTAAGATCTTGACATTTTTTTATTTTGTGTCAGAAACCTATATTTTGTCAAAGATTTGATAACAATCCAAATTCAGACAGTATCAAGCTTTAATATTGTGTCCAAATTTGTCCCAACTGTTCAGGGTCTAACCTGTGTGGTCGTATCAGGCTGCACTCAGCGAAGCATTTTATCTATAGTTTATTCCATCTTCCTGTTTGGATAGGCAATCGGTAACTTCCACATTTAAATTTACATAATAAAATTGATTACCGGTATATAATGACAATTTGGAAAAATACCTTTCCAATTTAATATTGGTGGTTTTAAACATAACCACTATGGAGTAGTATTAATTTCATTTAGGCAACTCTTCAAAAACTGGTCCCTCAGTTTCAACACAATACTTAAAATTACCCATTTAACCAGATATTTGACATTCCACGGGTATCAAAAACAATTTTTACAAATAACATTCTTTTACAGTTAAGACCAGAGTTGTGAAAATCAATGTACAATATTTATTATAAAAAAAAGCAAAATTTTAATGTCTTTACCACACAGTATTCTACATACAAACCTTGGCATTGACATTCACAGGATATCTACCCAATTGTGCATAAACAATATAGCTATGTGAACTCTGTTTTTTAATGTAGAACATGCTTACAAAAGTTTAAATGTACATGTTCTATTAAATTAAAATGTTCAAATCCCCAAATTTCCGAACCATAAAGAAGAAAATGCAAAACTATCTTATCAACCATGTCTAACTGACATTCTATAGTCAAACTGTTTTGTTACCACTTTTTAAATATACCATATATTGCTTTGTATCTTGTTCACAGATGTATTTTTAGGTCTTAAGAAATAAACCACTTCAGGCAAAAAATATACCAAGGTATTTATACTCGGTTACAAGTTCTAATTCTCTATTCTGTATAAAAAATGTTATATTTTTGGGGTTGTTTCCCTTTAGAGAATATAAGAACTTTTGTCTTATTAATATTTATTTTCAGTTGGCATTTTACACAACAGAAGTCTGACTTTATCATTCCTTTAAATCCATGTTTTCCTTTCAATTTCATCCAGAAAATCAGAGCAAGCAAGTTCGTGTAGTTATAAACAGCCAAAAGACTCACAGCATGTTATACCTGAAGAATGTACTCAGGAAGTTTATGAGAAAACTGTATGTTTATTATTTGTTAATAACACATAAATATTATTATGATAAAAAATGTTGGTTGCTAAATTCACTAATTAAAATTATATGTCAGCATTGAAATCCTTGAAGAGAAAGGCCAAAATATGACCAGAATTATATTTTTTAAGGAGTAGGCGCAGTAAGACCCTATTTTGGCCCCAACATATAGCAGTTTTTCAAAATTGTTCAAATGTAAACTTTTAAGTCATGCTAAATTACTGAAATCTTCGAAATGTTTGCATTTTGGTTAATTTTTTGACGGTTTCCATCTGAAATGGAAGTGGCTGCATTTGTGTTCATAATATTTAAATGAAAGTTGTTATTGTAATTGATGATGACACATAATGTATAAAAGGTTGAGAATGAACACAAATGCGTCCACTTTCATTTTTGTCAAAAACATAAAAGTGACATATTATGGCATATTTGATAGATCTTTCATCTATAAGCTTGAAATTGAGCACCTTTAAATGAATAAATCATTTCAAATTTTTCACATACTGTGGATTCATTTTTATTTGTTGGACACCAATTTTCGTGGATTTCGTGGGTATAGTTGAACCATGAAATTAAATGTTCAACGAATGACAAATTTTCTAAGGCTTGTATTAAGACTTAAGCAAAACCAGGAAATCAAATGTCCACGAACATGCAACAATAAAATTGGTGCCCACAAAAAAATTAATGAATCCACAGTAAACTAATTGCATCTACTGATGTAGACACTTAAGTGTTTAAAAAGTGTCCAAAATTTTCATCAGATGAACCTGAAATTTGTAGGCTAAAATAGACCTTTACTGGATCTGCACCTTTAAAGGATTAACTACAACAAAGATGATAGTCAAATTTTAAGACAATGTAGTGCAACAGACAAATTGGTTCGAAATCGAGCAGTTAAATTGCTGTCATAGAATCCTAAGATGTCTTATTACAATCTGCATTACTACAGTGATTTTCAATTTTGCTGAATTTAAATCGGGTTTCAGTGGCAGAATATAGATACAGAGACAATTAAAGTAGTAAAAATGTTTGTCAAAGTCAGATTTTCAAATAATCTTACTTGACTGAAAATAACAATGTAACTTCATTTATAAAAAAGTGATTATTAAAAACTCCAAATTCCCATGTTAATTCTATGAAGGGGAAAGTCCTTTAAAATATGCCAAATTAAATGTTACACCATATATACAACAAACAATATATCATATTTCTTACTTAGTAAATGGTTTTTATGCTAACTCAACCTCCCACTTATATGATAGTTATTTATAGTTTATAGTCAAAACTGTGATAACCTACATCCCAAATATACAACACAATTGAATAAATTTTAATTTCAAGCTGCATTTAAAATTTTTTAAAATATCATTGTAAAATGAATAATAGCATTGAAAGAATAGTATTTATATTCCTTTATTTTGTCAGGAAAATCTACCCTTTGATGGTCAAGAAATTTATACCAGTCTGTTAAAGTCAATGCATGCTATTGTTCCTGTTGACAACCAGTACAAAGCATTTTTAATGCAAGACTACAACATGTGTAAGAAGATGTTAAAGGTAAAGAAAATTGTAGCTTATCATAAATATTACTAACATTACCGGTTTTGTTTTCAGTTTTAGAATTAATGTAGAGACAACTCATTAACTATTTTCTTTATTAACATTTACCTGCTGTTAATAAATCCTCTGGTGATGGAAATATTACTTTTACTAACCACTAACCAGTACATAAAAAGTCTTTATCTGAAGGAGAATACATTTATTGTGGGTTGGTTCAATTCTACTGGGAGTAAACTAGTGTACAATTTTCCTACATTTAAATAAAATATTGTTTTGATTGAAATTTTTTGTTGAGTTGAAGGACATAAACATTAAGTACAATTTGCCTTCAGCTGGAGTCCATTTTTTATAGGGGTTACTGTGGATTCATTTATGTTCGTGGATTACAGAAAACTTGCCTCTTTGTGGATATGTAAATTTATGGTATTGACTAAGTCTGCATACAACCTGGTAGGAAATTTGTACTTCATTGAACATTTAAATTCGTGGTTCACCTGTTCACGTGAAAACAACGAAAATTGGAATCCTATGAATAATAATGAATCCACAGTATTACCTTTTAGTACAATTGTATACAAATTTTGTTGTTTTGGTCTATTTTCCTGAAAATTTTAAAGATTAATTGCAATTCAAAAAGCAACATTTATCAGCAGGACAAGATATAAAAAACAATTGGAAATTTGTTTTTAACTTGTTTTATTTTGTAACCTACTGTATAATGATAATCTCCCCCCTCCCCCCCCAAAAAAGCACATTTGCTATTAAATTTGTATCAGGATCAGTATGTTGTTATACAGAGGAGAGTTCTTATTATTGAAGGAATATACAGATGGATGTATTGTTGTTCCTGTAATGTTGCACAAGAAAGCCTCCTGCTAAGCATACCTGACAATCTTACAGGAAACATTGAAAAGGGTACAATTATAGAATTGAAAAAAATATAAATTAAATGTCTCACATAAACTCTACACGAACCTCTCATTTCTTCAGTTTATTCAACATTATGCAGTGCACAGACAATTAAGAATATAGTATGAAAGTCAAACCGACATGTATTTTTTTGGATAACGTCTATTGTCAAATTCCTGGTTGACAATAAGTTAAATGGCATTCCCTGCTTCCAAATAATCATAGTATAACATTTTTCTATTACAAAAAATGAGGAATTTTATGATTTTCTAATAAATAAACATGAACATAAGGTAATGTAAACACATATCAAAACAAAATACTTTGTTAAAAAGATCATGCAGTCTCTTCAATATAAATTTGCATTCTGTATCAAAATTATGTCAGCTTTATTTCTGCTGTAAAATAAAATTGATGTCTGATACATTTTTTCCATTGGAAGGGCTTTTCAAGATGAACATCTTTCCTTTAATGTTTTAAAAGTTTGATGTAAATATAGCAAAATAACAACTAAGGTAATTGTAATGTCAGTTTCTTTATAAGCTCTAAATTTATTAACAATGAAAATTTCAGAAGTGTGTGATAAATCATGTAAGACAATGCCTACTCAGTTGTTGATACTCTCTGTGGCTAACTTTTTATCAACATTGGCAGGTGATTGCTGTTTTCTTTTTGGCATACTTGGTATCCTAATCTGTAACAAAAATTCATGTGATGTTCTTGTTCTGAATATTTTCAAGGTTAATTTCAATTTTGAAACCATTTATAACTGTCAATGCGAAATATCAAATAATACTTTTATTTCAGATTTGGAAGAAAAATGCATACATGTTGCACCTGCAAAAAGAATAATAGAGGGTTTTCAAATGGAAATTTCTCCAGAGGCAGCCTATGTTAAAGGTTAAACTAAAATATAGAAAAATGCTTACTTAAAAAAGAGAATATGAATGTGATACAGATGTGATAGTTGATACAAAACATGGTATTTAAACATAAGGACTTTTTTGTATAAGTTTTCTAATAATTCTTCTTTTTGTTGTAATATTTTAAGCATTTGCAAAGTTCTATCTAATTCGGCAGTAATCCTTTTAGGAAAATAACACTAGCAAGTTTTGTTCATTATAGTTGTATATTATATTATTTGATCATTATAATTTGAAAAACATTCATATTTACAATTTCTGACAAAATTTGGTGCAGTAAAAAAAATTGTATGCTCAATTGTTGTTATTCATATGTCCTACTGTTAAACATATTTGTGATTCAAAGCTCCAATTTTTTACTTTAAGAAAAAGTGTTATGCACAGCAATGAAGGGAGATAACTCAGAATTTAAAGATATCGAGTATACATTTTTCCTTTCACTTATGCATAGTAAAGGATTTATTACAGTAATAGTTCTTATTTTCTTGAGAAATGTTATTAATTAATCAATTAGCACTAATTGAAAAATCAAACACACTAGGTATAGTACTTGAAATAATATATACAAATCCTCCCTAAACTCTACTAGAGATGAATATACTATAGAATTATAATTAAAAAAACAACAATTTTGTGTAGTTGCATTTATTCAACCTTGAAGGGAGGTAATTCATATTATAACAAAAAGATTAACTTAAATAATTATATTATAATCTGTCCCATGACATTTTTGAAATGATACAAAATGTATGTGAAAATTGTATTGAATTTGTATTATATGGTACAATAATTAAACTCAACAATGTGAAATTCATCTTATAAATTCAATGTTTGATTAAGATGAAATTATACATAAATTTTTCAAATGATCTTTGATTCATGTCAATTTTTTAATGTGAATTTTTCACATGGTTTAAGGTGACAGTTGATTTCAGTTGAACAGAAGTTCAGGTCAGATGCACATGAAATTAATGCGAGCAACATTTGGCTGTGTTACACGAACAAGAAACACCAAAGAATTCATGATATTTTATGCTGATAAGATTTTGTGATTGCTTAACTTTGTTTTTACCAACTTACATTAGAAGTGTTACATTTAAAGAATTGATCATTTTCCCACCAATTTACATATTTTTACTGAAAAATTACCATGTGTGCAGTTGAAGACACTAAATAACTTATATGATTGGATTAATGATGTAACATGCTACCTTTTATATCCATTTTTTTAGATGTTTCCATTTTTGAATAAATTTGTATGCACTGCTAGAATATTACTTATATGATGTTCTTACCAAAAAGTTTGAACTTCACATATATTATATTATGAGTTAAAAATTATGCACTTTTGCTTTCAATCTCATAAACTTTATATTTGCTTATATGACTGATTAAAACTTATTAATCATATACATGTTTAACTATTAGTATTAAAAAAAATTAGTGTGTGTAACAGGCTTTACAGAACTAAACTGTCTCTGTAGATACTCATACTCTAGACATTTTAAAATCAATTAGTGTAAAAACTATTGGTTCTCAGAATTATTAACGTTGATATCTTCCATGTGTGTAAGACACAGTGAGTAAGTACCTAGTAAGTAACCTGATATTTTTTTTGTAGGCAAGCAAATTGAAAATGAAACAGATCACACATATGACAAGCAAAGGACAAATGTAAGTAATTTTTTTGTTAAACAATAGGTGTTTTGAAGATTCAGTTCATAAGAAATTGTATCATTTAAGAAAAAAATATGATTATGAAATTCAGTCTTTATTACAGTACAGTTAGTTGTTTATAAAGATAAAAAGGATAACTTAGTTATGACTGATTTCAAGAATATATGATTTCTATGTCATTTCAGTAAATGTGAACCAGATTCATAAGTATATCCGTGTAACAAAATGCTCCATCTGTTCTCATATGAATGTTGTTTTTTTAACTGATTTTGAAATTGGAAGAAAAAGATATTGTATGTCCCTTTCAACAGTAGACAGACGAATCAGGGACAATTATTTTAAAACTTTGCTTTTACTTAAAAAAATAAGTCTGGTTACAATAACCTAATAACGAAAAAAAAAATTTACTTTAAAAAGTGCAGTGTTCACAATTTAAAATCAGGTAAGTGTTAGCATCTAATGATCAGCAAATAGAGTAACTAGATTTTAATTCTGCATCACAATTACTAGTTTTTTGTTGAATTCATTATAGGTGTCAGATGGAACTATTATTTTTTACTAACAAGTACATGGGAGACAACTCTTGTACTGTTTTACTTATTAACATTTTCCTTTATGTTATTTTATACTATGGTGATGGAAATATGACTTTAAACTAACTACTAACAGGTACATAAAAAGTCTTCATCTGAAGGAGACTACATTTATTGTAGGTTGGTTCAATTCCAATGGGAGACAACTCTTGTACTATTTTACTTATTAACATTTTCCTTTATGTTATTTAATGCTATGGTGATGGAAATATGACTTTAAACTAACCACTAACAGGTACATAAAAAGTCTTCATCTGAAGGAGAATACATTTATTGTAGGTTGGTTCAATTCCAATGGGAGACAACTCTTGTACTATTTTACTTATTAACATTTTCCTTTATGTTATTTAATACTATGGTGATGGAAATATGACTTTAAACTAACTACTAACAGGTACATAAAAAGTCTTCATCTGAAGGAGACTACATTTATTGTAGGTTGGTTCAATTCCAATGGGAGACAACTCTTGTACTATTTTACTTATTAACATTTTCCGTTATGTTATTTAATGCTATGGTGATGGAAATATGACTTTAAACTAACCACTTACAGGTACATAAAAAGTCTTCATCTGAAGGAGAATACATTTATTGTAGGTTGGTTCAATTCCAATGGGAGACAACTCTTGTACTATTTCACTTATTAACATTTTCCTTTGTGTTATTTAATGCTACGGTGATGGAAATATTACCTCTACTAATAGGTACATGGGAGACAACTCTTGTACAATTTTTCTTATTACATTGGTCCGAGTACACAGTTATCGTCCTTTGATTTTTGTTGTCCACAAATATAGTCCCTAGTGTGGACAGTGTGTTACTTGCCAGTTTTTTTTAATACCCCTTTCAAATTTATTTCTCCATGTTTTATGCCTCAAATAGCAAGTAG